TTGAGAGCATTTATGACATTGCAGGCCATTTTCAAGAAGTTGAGTTTTATTCCTAGTGATATGAGGAACCATTGCACACCTTTGAACAGAGGAATGACACTATGACAACTTTGTACAAACTTGCTCTAGCTACTATGTTGAGAAAAAAATATGTAGGGGCAAATGGTGGTATATGAAAGACCACTTAGGACACTATTAAAGGAATCCAGGCCAGAGATGTTGGTCTGTAGGCAAAGGTATCCAGGCAAATGGAAATAATAAAACAAACATAGATTGTAATTTTATTATCAAACAAGACAGAATTGAGGCCAAAATAAATGAAAGAAGAGTAAGATTTTATCAGGTGAAAGGCCATACTTTACAGTGAATATATAATGATATTGAAGATCTATGGATCAAATAAAAAAAGAATTCTCCCTATAAACAGACACTACTGGAAACACAGTGAGGAAGTGACAGAATACATTAAAAATAGATTTTACTACTCTTAGTTTGAGAGAGATCAAGTGCATAAATACTATTAAATATATTGGGAAAGCTTTTAAAACTATGTCTCAAAATTCAAATACAATAAAGAGGCTGATAAATTTAATACTCTTATTTTAAGTATTTGTATTGTAACAACAAAGTCAAAAGAAAGATGACAAACTAAGAGAATATATTTGCTATATAGATTACAAAGTGGTACTCTCTATAATTTAGAAAGAATTTATATAATTTGGTGACAAGAATAATCCAAAAGCCTGATAGACAAAAAATGGGCAAAACCCACAAATAAACAATTCACAGAAACATGTTATAAAATTAGCTATGTTTTTAAACGTATGAAAATTTTCTGAATTCTACACACAGTAGGAAAAATAAAATTTAAACTACACTGAAATATTACTTGTGATCTATTTATTGACAAAATTAACTGTCAAATACTTTAGTGTATAATTGTGTTTCTTCAGCCATGAACCAGTTTCAGATCTAGAAATTGATGATTGAAGGAGAGACCCTTGAAGGAGGCCTCTACAATGCTACCTCAAGAAGGTATAGGAAGTATTTCCCCATGAATGAATTAGAGAAGTGTAAGAAGTAGTAGTAGCATGCTCCTCTGTTTATGAACCAGATCTCCTTGGTTCACCTCTGATTTCAATAGTAACAATGGTGGACAGTTCTGTGCAAGTCAAGCTTATCTCATATTTACAGCATGACATCTCAGACACAGTATCTTTCTGCCTCTGCCCCCTTCCCCAGTGCCATGGTTATTTGGCCCAAATGCACTTTACTCTGGGGATTCTGGAGTTAATGCTCTTGGGAGTGCCCTCAACCAGTGGGAGATGAGAGCCTATTGATTAATTAGTCTTTCAAGCAGACAGTTTTGCAAAACACGCTGTACACATCAGGCTGTTTGACAGTCTGGCCCTGTTGCCCACAGCAGTGAAACTGAAAATGCACTCTTATATCGCATATTCATCTTCCTCTCTGACTCACTTTAGCTTCCTGGGATCATCTCCAAATAGATTACTAATCCTACATTCTTCTTCTCTCCAAACACTCTTTAATATATTGATCTCTTAAGCTACATTTTAGTTGTTGTTGTTTTTTTTTTTTTTAATTTGAAAAATCTCTTATTGGCTATTACATGGAGTAATTCTTTTAAAGAGGTTTGTTCATCTTCCTCATAAAAATGAACATTTTAAGTATAAAATAAAATTGGTTCTACCTGGTGATGACAAATATACTCTTAGCTTTCAGTAAAAATAAGTGTATTATCCTCAACTACAATTTCATCTTGCTATTACCTAACTTGGAATAACTTTTAATATTTATACAGTCTGGTTTCAAATTCTCAAGCCATTATCTTATCAGTTCCAAAGCAAATATTACCTTTAAAATCCATTGTCTTCACTTTACCTATGGTTACATTGAGCTTGCTATTACCTATTTCTACTCCACAACATTTTTATTTTCTAAGATCTGTGTCTCAGGAATAAGAATCATAGAAATTAAATTTCCTAGACTCTTTTAGCAGCAGATATCTGGCTTAGATTCTACTAATGGAAAGTCCTTTTTTTAAGATGTGAAAGGCAGCAGTAGAAAAGAATTAAACAACTGCTGTATCACTGCTAGGTATGTGAATTTCAGCAGAAGGCAGACAAGAGGTTCTTGTCTTGGCTCCCTGATATCCTCCTGTACATCTGTTTCTTAGAAGTCTAAGCCAGCTGAGATCACTGACAGTTATCTTCTATGAGTCTCTTGTTCCTGGGTTGCTAGAAAGTCAGTGGCCCTTTACCTGATTTTCACTTCCCAAGCCCTTTCAAACTGTCTAATTTCCTGTATGAGTCTTTTCTTGGTTGAAATACCTAGGATGTATTTTTGTTTTCCTCAAAAATCTGATTGGTAATAAAGCTATTTTTTGAAAAATGAAGATCTGCTATTTTACCTTGTTTTGTTAAGGTGACTATTGTTGCAATTATCTTATAAAATATTTGGATCATTACTCAATTTTAACAATTTTTCTTTCATTCCTCAGGTTATTTTCTCAGCCCGGGATTTGCAAACTACTGCCTGTAAGCCCAATGCGATCATTCTCGTTCATGTATACAGTCTATGGCTACGCTTGAATTGCAATATCAGGTTTCTATAGTTGCAACAGAGACTGTGTGGCACAAAACCTGAATGTTTTAACTATCAGGACTTTTACAGAAAAAGTATGCTTACACTGTTCTACACCAATCAATTTTTGTTAATATGTTATACATTCCTGTATAGTGCAGGAGATGAATTTAATTATATTTACTGTATCACTCTTGTGACAAATTTAATAATAACAAAATCCTTCTGCCCTAAAAGTCTCAGAAATTTGAAACAGTATATATCAGGAATGGAGAATTATAGGCCAGAAGATAGAAGGCTTCAAAAGTCAATTATGAAGAAAATCTAATGTATATAATGATGATACTAGCTAAGATTAGCTGAGAGCCTCAGAAATGCCAGACATTGTGCTAGAGCACTTTACAAGCATTAGGCCATGTCATCCTTCCATCACTCTGACATAGTTAAACCAAGAAAATGAGAAGAGAAAATAATATGTTTCCCAAGGTCACATAGCTAATTAGTAACTGGTACCCAACTCAAATTTGACATCAAACTCTGTAGTACACCTATTGTTAATTGTTAAAACACTTGCTATGATAAAGAACAACATATTAGTAAGAGTGTTTTTTACACTACTATATGATATTTTATATTATTTTACAATGAAATCAGAAAGTGAAATTCAATTACTTTTCACTATTAGTCATGCTGCTGACATCTTAAATTCTCTATGTAGTAATCGGGGCTCAAACCCACACTATTGTATCATTTATAACAAAGATTTGGTATGATCCCAGAAAGCTGAAAGAGTATAGTTACCATCCTGTCAGGGCCTTCGCTTGATGTCTCTTCTGACTATACTCATGTATTACATAGGCTGACAGTGTTGGGTGAGTTCATGTGTCTAATTAGAGTAGTCTCATCAATTGGGGGAAAATAAATCAGGGGCTCTATGTCAAAGATTGGTTATATTTGGTGGACACTCCAGGTACAATTTCCTATACTGATAAAAACTTAACATTTTTTCCTTGAAATTGAGAAAGTAATTTCTATAAATGACACCTGAGATCGTTTGAAATGAAATTCAGAAAATCAGAGAACAATCTGGCTGCCTTAACTGCTTGGCTGAAAAACATTGCCTTCTCAGGATTTAGCTCAGGATATGTCCTCGGGGACATATTGTTAGATTTTTGGAGAAGGTGGAATAACATCAGACTAGTGTGATACCACAGGTTTAGAATAGTTTCAAGGACATGCAAACTTTTCGGATATTATTATCAACTTTTCAGTACATGAGGGCATTAATGATGCATTTTGAAAATGAGTAAAAAAATCATCAACTTTGTAATCATCAAGATAGTACTCCTATATTTAACACATGCCATCACGTACCCTTTGAAAAAATGCAGTTATGTATAACAACTAATTTTTGGGGGCATTTGGATGAATGAGTAAATGATATGGCTAAATCTAAATCTTAGGAAACTCTGGTTACAGGGAACCATTTTCAGAAAACGAATCAATAAATAAAATATTGATAATAGAACTAATTCCAGTCAATAGAATAATTTATTCTCTGGAAGTATCTAGGTCATTTTTATTGAAGCTGCTAGAGATATGTATGATTTCCTCAGCTCCTAAGTAGATGAAGTGCATAATGTAAATTATAAAATTTTTTCTTGTTACTCAACAACATTATTTTTCAGAGGAATTTAGTTTTGTACTCATGAAAGTGACAGAAATTCTTTGCATTTAGTAAGATTATTAAATTGTCAGTATCTAGGGCCATAAGCTCTAACCTTGTTTGTATAACAGTTGGAACACAGGGGCTGTTAATGATTTAAAATCCTTACATTATTCTACCAACTAATTATTCTAAATGCCATATAAAAGATTCTTTCCACTCTCGTTGAGCAGATGCACACTTGATTTGCTCTTATTAGAATTATGCACAGCATAGGAAAAATGTCAAAATTCCAAAAGATAAATTTTATTTTGTTGGATAGAAAACCATTCATCTTAATTATTTTTGACACCTTTTGCATTATGTTATGAGTATCTCAAGAGAGAAAAGAGAGCTCATCTCCTTTAAAAGCAGTTTATTGAGAGTGGCATGCTATTGTCATTATCTAAGAATCCTACACCCTACTTTAAAAATCTAGGAAAATAATAATAAAAAAAGACATAGTTTTAAGAAAATTCATCTGTGCAAAGCAAGATATCATGTCAAATATTTGTAGCTAATAAAGTATTTTTCTTAAATGCATATAAAATACAAAACTGCATTCAACAACTATTTTTCTTAGATACATGTGACATATAACTTGCAAATTGTCAAATTTAAAATAAGAAGTTCTCAAACAATTGTATTTAAATATGAGGTAATCGTATGTATGTTATGGTTAAGACATGACATCCATTGATCTTAGTATTGGAAAATATTCAATTGCCTCCTATCATCATCAATTGTCAGTTTGAAATGACACGCCTATTAGGATGGCACATGATTAGGCATAGTTACAATCACAACTATTTATTCAAGGATCTCTGTCAATGAGAATAAAGAGCAAAGCATGATTAATAGAAGGCAATTGTGAATACACCAGAGGTTAGACTTTTCATAGTGACTAGGGTGGGTTAAGTTTACATATCACCTGAAGGTGTGTGAAGAAGGCTAAAGAAAAGACAGTATCAACAGTGAAAGGGACCATTGAAAATATAGTGATCTGAAGCAATTGGGGAGTTTGGGAGGCATGAACAATAAATATTAGTTAGATATCACATCTGACTTAGACAAAAAATTTCAGAAATAGAATCTGGGAGAAAAGTCAGTTATGTTTATGTGTGTGTGTGTGTGTGTGTGTGTGTGTGTGTATGTGTGTGTAAATTGAGCAAGATATAAACACACAACTATATCAGAATGCAGAGAAGGGATTTCTGAGGAATAACCCTGAGGTACTATTGATTTCTGTACATGAAATATAAGGATCTTATACTCATTCCTCTTCTTCCTTCTACTCAATTTAGCATGCTCTCAACAAGAATAATTGGCCCAAATATTCTCTATTTTCCTGTAGACTGCTTTTGAAGCCTATAATATCTATTGATCACTACATGAATACCAAACACCTTATTCATATTTTTAGCTTGATTTTAGGACTCCTCATCTTTGCTTTCAAAGTTTTCCTAACTGTGACTGCACATTACTAGCTAACTATATCAGCTCCTGCTCCAATAAATACATGCTAACCAAGTTAAGTGTACCTCTCCCTGCCCCTTCTTGCTGCTGAAGTTGTATTCTTTCCCCACCTGAACCACACAGAACTGCCATGGCCTTTCTTCACCCAGTTCTAGTACCTGCTATGCTTCAAAAATCAGCTTGGCTCTGCCTCCTCAAGAAATACCACATCAATCAGTCCAGTCCATATGAAAATCATAGATGTGTAGAATATCTAAATTCCAGAAACGGAAGGAACATTCAAGAATACCCAGCAACCCAGTCCTGTCATTGGGCAGATACGGGGGGAAAAACCTAAATTTTTTGCAAGATCATAAAGCCAATAATTAGCAGACCTGGTTTTCAAGCAGAGATTTGAGCACAGAGCCTGGGCTCTCCTTAGAAGATCATACAGTCTCCTTTATTAATTAAGTAATAAAAATCATCAAAAATTAGCGAAGAGAAAAAAAGGGCAACCTTTCACTAACTAGATAAGTTCAATTTATACTTAGGTTTTTTCCCCCATATCGACCCAGTGACAGGACTGGGTTGCTGGGTATTCTTGAATGTTATTATAAAGATTCAATGAGAAAATGGAAGCGATTTCTCTATTACAATACCTTACAGACAGTAGGTGTTCAGTAAATGTTATGTAACTAACAGATTGCTTAATTTGCATGCTTTATTTTCCCAACCTGTGTACACTCTTTTAAGGCCTGAGTAGTATTTTTCTTTTCATTGTTTTACTCTCATCAACTAACCCAGTAATTACATATTAAGCACTTAATACACATTTTTCCAATGAATTTAACGTCTCCTTAGTTTTCTTCTTATTATTCTCTTACTTAAGTCTGTTCATAAAGAACATAAAGAATCTGAGAGCTTCTAAGAGAACTACACTTAACAAGTGAATACTCATATCAAAAAGTGTAACTAAAAAATCAGGCATTTTACCATCTGAGGAAAATGTATGTGAATACCAAGGATTCATTTAACAATATTCATCAAGAATTTATTTGAAAGACTCTTTGAATTGGTCAACAGGTCTTGCCATTTTTCATTTGCAATATTGGGGAGAATTTTTCTCTGAATATGATATTGTTAAGCATTGGAGTGATTTATAAAATTACATTTTATTAACATTTTTGTTAAATCCTTAAAAGGGAAAAGATTCTTACTTGTTTCTTACACTTCAGTGGTAGAACTTTTGTGTAACTAGACTAACAGTCTTAACAGATTAATGCCAGTTTTGCTACATGGTAGTAACACTACAAAAATAAACTGGTAACATTATCGTACAGACTTTTTGTGAATAATTTTGCATGGTATTTCTTTCGGTATTGTTTTGTTACTTTGAATGTATAGCTTGGTATCATAAAATTAATATAATGACCCTATAGAATATGTTATAAAGAAAATAAAGATATTAATTGATCTGCTACAAAAACTTGAAATAGCTATAATTCTGTGTTTAGAAATTGCACCAATATAAATGAATACATTGAATATAGAATAAATAGTAAGTTTCAAAATCAGTAAGTGAAATATTTGATATATTATCCTGTGCTTCTAAATGCACAAATGGCAGCTTAGGTATTTAAAATATGTGGTACTAAGACAGTACCTGAGATTGCAAACATAATGATATGTTTTCTTTTAATGTAGACACTAAATACAACAAAAACTCCTACATTTTAAACCAATGATCAAGACAAAAAAAAAGTGTCAAATGTAGTTTCACTATCTTATAGAAGGAAAAAGACACTTCTTAGGTTTACAGTGTCCTTTGTTGCCTCCTTTCAAACATTCTGCTATGTGATACCAAGTGAATTTTTCCCTAAGGTTAAGAATGCATGAGAGACATTTTAAAAATCATAAAGTTCATGGTCTTCCTAGTGTAGTAATAGCTTCAAGATGATTTGAAGCCCAAGAAATTTAAAATAAAAATGGTCAAACATTATTTTTTATTGAGAGAATATTTTCTTCCCCATACCAATTGTCTAACCACTTCTATTTAGTGAAATACTATATGTATTTATAGATACCTAGGCTATGAAAATCTTTTATAATATGCTCTTAGAGTTTCCAATATTTTAGATATCTTTACTTCCACATTGTGGGAAAATTGTCAATAAAGATGTATGCCCTTGATGAGAAAAAGATCATAGCCTCACTAAGAAATTACAAAGAAGAGAACTAACTCTCACAATCCATTAAATCAAGATGTCCTTTCCTAGGCCAAACACCTTGCTATAAATTCTATCCCCATTGTTACTTCCTAGAAAGAACATTTGCTCTCCATCACTACAAGAGCCTCTTCACTATTTATAGTGCTTAAGTCTCTGCCCCTCGCTCTAACATTCATGTCTCTAGGTGTTACTAACCCCCGTTTCTTTAGCCTTTTCTCCTAGGTCTCATTTCTCCAGTTGTTAATCATTTTTATTACCCCTCTTTGGTCTCTTTCCAAATTCTCTTTATCATGACTCAGTTAGGGATGTCAAATGAAACCAACTATGCTAATAAATATTTGACCAGTGCTGGAGTTAAGAAGAAAATGTGTTTAGTGATTTATATAGACACTACTTGCCTGAAGTCTCCTTAGCTAAGGATTAAAGACAATGGAACTTGGAATTCTTGAGGTTTGGTCTTAAAAAGAAAATAATAGGACATTGTAAAACAGTAAGAGCTGAAACGGTGAAACTGATTCAAACTGTGTAAGAGGCAAAACAATGAGAACGAAAGAGAAAGAAAATGTCAACACAATGCCTTATGGACAGAACCAGAAATAAAATGAGAGACTAAGATAAATATCAATAACCAGGATGATAGTGAAATGCAATGGGGGAGAGCTTATAGTTGAAGTATGTTCCTTCATGAATGTCATGAATGAAGCTGGAGTATCTCAGGTTCATCATTATTGGTCATTTGCCTGTTTGTGTAGGTAGACAAGGCAGATGGAATCCAATGTATATTTAAGGCAGATATTATTTCAGTTGTAGCTATAATATATTTGGATTATTCCATATAATAACTGCAGTTTTTTTTTCTCTTCATTTGTTAACAACTTGTTTAAAGTTGATTTCCTTGCAATTATTCCACAAAAAATGGCATGGCAAAATTTTGAACTGTGTAAGGGAAATCCTCCATCTCCAAATCTCTCTCAAAGAGACATTTATTTGAGATTTTACCAAAATAAGACATTATTTTACCAATTCAAGACAAACAAAATGATACTTCTCTTCTTGCCTGTCATATGTAAACATGAGGTTAGCAATTTTATCTGTTTTATTCACTATTGTATCCCCAGTACCTTGAACATTGTGGCAGCTCAAAAAACACAGTGGTGGCTCAATAAATGAGTGAACAGTATTTTCCTCTACTTTCCCATCTTGGTGAGTGGTGATGCTCTACCAAGTTAAAGATGCAAGACACATACTTGACAGCCCTGATTCCTATGCCTTATCTTCTTTTTCTTTTGTCATTTTCATAAATGATTTAAGTCTTTCATAAATGTTAACCTATGCCTTAGTCTTTCCATCTAGTCCTTCGACACATCCAGAAATGTCAACTCTTTAATCTGAGCTCTCCTTTTATTTCCTCACATTTGACTTATTTTGTGTCATTTTAACTACTCACCTGATTTACTAAAATTGGCTTAGAACTCCCCTTTCTCACTGCAGATAATTTTCCAAAATGCTATCAAAATAATCAGAGCAGACTTTCTAAAATATAAATATGATTGTCACACATTCCAACTTTAACAGCTTTATCATATTTGAAATTTAGAAAAGCCACCATATCAGCACATGAGCTCCTAGCTATATCTCCAGCTCATTTCCCAGTTTTTCTTTCCTCTAGTCCTATTTTACCATCCCATATGCTATAACCATACAGAGGACTGTAGTCATTAAATATCATTATGCTTTTATATATGCTTTTTTTAAATCCATCTAAAATCTTAATACTTCTTTCTCTTATTTTCTCTAAATTCTCCTATTCAATTAAAATTTTCCTCAGCAGCAGTTAACTCTGTTGACCACACATTTCTGCTTACAACATTTTTTTTCTCATTTGGAGTTCTAAGAACTTACACTTTCTGACATTTTCTCATACTCCAATAGCAGCTCTTCTGGGTGTCATTTTGGGGTTTCACTTATTCTAATGTTTCATCTATGAAAATATTAAACACTGTGGGTCCCAGGGCCTGGATCTAAATCCTGCTTTTGTTTAATTCTATATTCTCTTTGTGGCATATCTAAATCCAAAGTGTAGTTTCAACTTCCTTTTTTTTCTTTATCTTTTGAGATTTCACTAAATTATATTTGCCAATTAGACATGTGTATTTAACTTGATACATCTTTTTGGATAGCTCTCAGGCACTATCCAAAGATTTTAACTTGTATTCATTTGACTTGTTTTCTTGCACATTTCAACCTTTTAGACATGTAACATCCTCTCAATTACTCATGCAAGAAACTCTGACACAAATTCTTTTTCATCTTACTCCTCTAACTTTTGTCTGTCCCCATGGCCAACACCTCAGTTAAAACATTAGTTTCTCACCCTCTCACCTAGAATTTTAATACCACCTCTTCCAGAGCCAAAGTTAACGTTTAAAAATACATACCTGATTGTGTCACTTCACTTCTCAAATCCTTTCTATGTCTTTCCATTGCTCTTAGTTTGAGAGAAAAATGTGAACATGGCTTATAAGACCTATCTCTAACATTCTACTGCCCAGATCCTTCCTTTTTTATTGTTTTGCTCTTTCTCCTCTCTCCATCTACTTCTTTCAGTTCCTTCATGATACTCATAATTCTATTAATTTGTATTCTTTAGACCAATGTTGAATTTAGAATATATCTCAATTGATTTTCTTTTCCTCCAATAGTCCCTTAGGAACTTACCTCTCCCACTCTCTGGTCTTTGCTCACATAATTTTTCACTCTTTCTTCTGTCACACAGATCCTTTACTATGCCTATCTCCTTCCTCTCCAGGCCTTTGTAGATGTTAGTCCCTTTGTATGAAATATCTTACTTGACATTCTGACTACTTGTTTCTTCTTTCCATCTTAGATATCAACTCAATATCTTTCTCTCAGAGTAGTTCTTTCTGATCATCCAAGCTAGAGTAGGCCTCCAACCCCATCCATTCCTTCCTAACATTTTTCTCAGTTGTTTTCCTAACTTGTCACTATGTATTTATGTGTCCACTCACCTGTTTCTTAACTGTCTCCCATCTTAGAGTGAAAGCTACAGGAGGTCAGGGACCATGTCTGTTTTGATTATCATATTGTACAGGCTATTAATATTGGGTTTGGCCAATAAATATTTATTGATTAAATGAATAAATATAGTTTTGTAGTTCCAGATATTAAAGTAAATGTAATATACATTGGCTCTTCTTGCATCTCTAAAATAAACATAATTCAAGCTGTGCAAGGAAAATGTTTTGGTCCCTTTCTCCTGTTCATAAGTTTACAAGCCACATAGACCCTCAGATCATGGCACCAATTTGGAGGGCCCTGGTTTTGCTCTTTATCAGATACTAAGAGCAAAGTTGCAGGAAAGTGTGATGTCTTATGCTCTTTGGCATGTTAGACTCTGAGCAGATGGATTGGGTGGCAACCAGACTGATTTAGACCCTCTCTGGAGTTCCAGGAGACAAGAAATGGACTGAGGAATGGCAGAGCTACAGTATAGAAAACATTCATGGATTGAGACAATTTTCATAGTAAAATCTTAGAAAACTTAAACAAAAAAAAATATTACCTGAGTACTTCCACATAAACTTAATGATGCCATTCAGAGTAGGACCATCATTCTCTTTGTATTACACTTGCTAGTAATTCAAAATTCATCCCCCACAATATACTCTTTCTAGCTAATGCTCATTAAGATAATTCATTTATTTGATATCCTTTTGATGCTTCATATTGGCAAAATATACATCGTGTTATAAAAATGTACTAATTTAAAATAGTTTTAGAGAAAGTTATAGTATATTAAAAATATTCTTCTGAGTCAGGAGAATACCATTTTGTGACTTTGAACAAATGACTTACCTTGTCCAGGTCTCAGTTTGACCACTTATAAAGCTTATATTCAATCTTTTTTGTATTTATGATTATTTAATGTTCTAAAACTAGGCCTGTACCTTTGTTGTATTTTTTATTTACTCTGAGCTGAGAAACTGTTCTCCCAATTTTTGCTGTTCTGCTGTCCATTAACTGGAAAACCTCATGGCATGGTAGTTGGGCCCTGAAGATAGAATGATTTAGAATCAGTTTTCCTATTGTATCTTCCACAGCAATTTTACAGAAACTTTTTCCCCTGTATTAGTTTCCTACTGCTGCTGTCACAAATTATGATAAACTTAGTTGCTAAAAACACACACAGGCACACAATTTTTTCCTCTTATAATTCTGGAGGTCTGAAGTCCAAAATGTGTCAGCATAGCTTCATTTCTTCTGGGGGCTCTGAAGGAGAACCTGTTTTCTTGTATTTTCCAGCTTATATTAGCCACCTACAATCTTCAACTTTTAATTCCTTCTTAATCTTCAAAGTGCACAGTGTAACAACTTCAAATGTCTCTCTCACTCTGATCTCTGTTTTTGTCATCACAGATCATCTTCTGATTCTATTATGACCCTTCTAACCCTCTCTCATAAGGACTCTAATGATTATGGTTGAGTTCACCAGGTAATTCTGAAAAATCTCCCAACAGCAAAATTTGTAATGTAATCACATCTACAGAGCCCCTTTGTGCCATGTAAAGTAACATATTTGCAGGTACCAGTGATTAGGAGACATTAGGACATGGAGTCCATTATTTAGCCGAGAACATTTTTCTTATTTTTTTTCCCCAAATAACCAAACTGGTGAGGGATGCATCTGACAACACAGTGCCAACTCAAAGATAATCTAACCGTCATTATTACTTCATCTGTTGTTGATACTCAGTCAAATTACTTCTCTCATTATTTTACTGCTTTTAGTCAGCTGTAAGGCACACAGAACTCCATGTACTATGAAGAGCTTCTGTGGTTGAAGGTCACTATTCATTGAAGTCTGGAATGTTGCTGATATTGCTGATAGTATGTACTATTACCTACTGTAGGTCCAAGAATATCAGTGGCAAACTTTAATTTGTGCTAAATGTCTATATGAACAATAATTGAAGAAATTCCTTAAGTAGAGACATTTGAACACACATGCATGGAGATGAATGTCTTAATTCAGTTCTAGAGTGTATATGACATACATTTCTAATCTAAGCACATATGCCTTACATTAGGATGTTAGGAGTAATTTTCGCTTTTTCTTCACTGAAATCTATATAAAATATTACCCCAGTATTATTTGGATTTTTTTAATGTTCTGTTAATATATTATTTTCTTATTTTTTAAGTGTCTACCTGTATTGTTTGATATATTTATCTCTTTGTGTATCTCACATTGTTTTGGTTCCATGATAGTTTGAACTAAAAAATTGATTCTATACTATAGCCTTTGTTTCTGTAATAAAGAATTTTTATCTGCATTTATTATCATTTCATATTTTAAATAACAACCCCATTAACTGATTTCTTAGTAGCTCATGTGTTTCTACACAATGCTTTGTAAAATGTATTTTTTAAATGTTCTTTTCACTTTAGATTCTCCATATTCCTTTTCTTAAGCATCCAGATCATTTCGTGATGTCCATTTTGTGTCAAGCATAATGCTTTGATCTGGGGTTTCAGTGGTCTATAAAAAGAATCATATCCACTGCTTTCATGGGGCTTATAACTTAATGAGAAAGAAAGTAGCAAACAAATAATTACATACATCGATATTGTATATGTGCAAAAAGTTACCATTTCTACAAAAGTAAAAATGTTTGAAGTCATGTGCTAGGTCAATTCTTTTGGACATTTCCCAACTACACTGTATCTAGTGCACTTAGCATACAATGAGGGTGATTAAATATTGATGACTGTCCATGAAGGAAGACATTTGCCTATAAAACCATTGGGTAGCTATATACACAAATTTCTAAGAAAACAATACCTTCTTTCAAAATCAACAGTACATAAATACTACACATTCTCGTGTCAACCTGATTCAGGGATTTAGGGTTCAATAGATTTAATTATTTTTAATTAAAGCTCTCTGTTTTCCCTGGACCTTGTTTCCTTCAGGAAGGCATGTTTTCATGACTACCCATGTCTATTATCAACCTTTTACTTTAGAATAAAATAGAGCTTGTAAAATACAATTCAAAGGAGTGTATAATTGTAAAAATGGGAGAACTTCAGGGCTACGTAGTTTATAATGAGCAGGTTACGAAATTGAATGTTTTGTACATGATAGAAATACAGCACAGTAAAAACAAACAAACAAACAAAAAACACCATAATTTGGGAAAAATTCAGCTGCTGTTTCTTGAATTTTATTCATTAAGTGAACTCAGCACTTTGTTGCTTAATTGAGCTCAAGATAAGAATACATAATCTAATGCTAGACCACATTTTGTGACAGGAAACACATCATAATGCCTAACTTACAATTCAAATTATAAACTACCCAATCATCATGGAGTCATTTTCCTACATGATGAGTCATCTAATTTCCAACTAAAAAAAAAAAACACAATTTATCTTATAATTTTATTTGTGATGCTTAACAATATTACAGAACATGTAAGTGTTTTCTCTCAGTGCTAAATTCAAAATCAATATAAATCAGATATGTTTGATTTACAAAGTTTTTGTAATAGAGAAAAAAACACAGCTTGTATATCCAATGTTCATATTGTGACAAAGATATCTTTATATAAGTAAGTAAAAATGTGAAAGGTGAATTATTTTCAATTTAATATATTACTTAATATATAAATACGTAACTGATCACTCATATCTCTAAATATAATATAAATAAATATATATATAAATATAAAATAAATAAATATACTAAAGAAGATTCTCAGTTTTGTTTTATATAGAGAGATTAGATTATTTTTTCATTATTAGGTGGATGGAATATGCCACTCTATTGGCCTCATGCTGTTAAGTATCTATCCTACTCCCCGTCTGTGCTCTTTCCCAATTTATTCTTCACACAGTAATAAGAAATGTTTTAAAAACATAAACGGTTTCACAGACTTCCCTGCTTACACATCGCATTACCTTTACTTTTGCTTATAGAATCTTCATATGGTCCTTGCTTTACTCTCTGGCTTTATCTTATGTCACAAACTCACCTTGTTCATCATGTCTCAGCCTAACAGAGATTTTGTAGTTATTTAAAAATTCCAAAGTCTTTTCAGCCTCAGGGCCTTTGCACAAATCCATTTATTTGCTAGGACATTCTTCTGCTATGGCATGCCTTGTTCCACCAGGTTCTCAGTTTGAATTTCACCTTGCCAGAGTCTTTCTCTCATCAGTCAGCATTGGGTAGGTGACTAGATAAAACACAAATGTATGCCTAGAAATTTTCATTCTCTCTTGTAACTCTTTGAGCTTTTCTGTTATAGGAATTTACTAATTTATTTACTCTATTCACTAAATAAAGATGGTAGAAAAGTTTGTCTTATTCAATATCCTTAGCTCTAGCACAGTGAATAGCATTTTCAGGTGCTTTATAAAGTCTTATTGGCTACATGACTAAGTGAATGAATGAACGAGAAAGCCTGTTTGCATTTATTCTTTAATGTGCATCATTCACTGTCTCAGAGACAGCGAGAGACCATGCTGCATAAGAGAAATATCCAGGACTATTGTGCAGTTCAGCATGAATATTCCAGCAGATGTAGATGATTGAGGCTTCATGGAGTCAGGGAACATTTTCTATCTTACAGTTTTCAAAAGGAAAACACTGTAATTCATATATTATTAATTACAGTCCAGCCTTCACTGACTAAACAGGTAGGTTCCAGATGAATACACGAGGAACATTACAGATAAGTGAGTGTCAGATACTTTAGTTGGATCACCCTCCACTCTATATAATTGCTATTCTTTGAGGCTCTTTAGGGCAGTGTGCATATGCTGTAGTGGGGCATGTTTGAAAATCACTCAGTCATTGAGGTATTAGTTGAGGAAATCTAGTTTATCGACCAAGACACAGAAATTTGCTTATATAATTATGAATAAAGCTTCCTTTGTATGAAAGGACTGTGTAAAGAGAATTGATCTATGCTTAAAAATTATTTTACTGAGAGAAAAGGAGAAAAATTAAAATATAAACATATGGAAGACTCTTCTGCAAAGAGATAAATAAATTCTGCCTGTGGTTTTACAGAAAAATCTTAAATTCTTGCCATTAATGTTAGAATTAGAACCCATAAAAACCCGAGTCATCTAGAAGTCTATGGGACTGCAAATAAATCAGAGCAATATCAGCATCCCTGTAATCAACTACTTTGAAATCTCAATACTCAAAAGTAAAGAAATCCGGGATTAATAATACCAAAAGTTAAATCTAATATTTGAATAAAATGTACCTAATACATAAAATAATGAAGTCCCAAAGGGAACCTAAATAGGTCCAAAGGGGATCAGTACCACTATATGATATTTAGGTGAATTTGCAAAGTAGTTTTTCAAATGTTTATACTTTTCTGTAATCTGAGAAATAGCCGTGGAGCAACAAATCATATACTATCTTAATGATTATTTACTTATAAAATTTTGTATCATAACTCTCACAAACTATTGTACTTCATTTTTTTTTAAATATAACTATTGGCTTTTTAAACTTTTGACAGCTCTACACTTCAATTTTAATTGGTAGAATATTAAAGTTTATTTGAATACAATTATGTGTTATATATTTACCACAATCAATTTCAAGTATTTTTTGTTCTATAGGTTTCTTAACTTGGTATGATCATTGCTTCTGAAATGACAATATGCTTTACTAAAATGTGTATTCATGTAGTCATTATAGAAACAATTTTATCTTCAATGTTGAATTCAACTATTTTGCAATAGTATTATCATGATAATACCTAGAGATTATGTTAACTGCAGTTTTTCAAAATATAAACTCAAGCCAATATGAGAAATAATTGATTTTCTATTTAATTATATGATAATAAGGATATAAACCTAGCATTATCAAACTATTTGTAAAAGTATTCTTCTGCTCATGAAGCTAACACCTTAATAATCATCATTTCTCATTTTGTAAATTCAAGAAAAAATTTGTTAATCAAAATAAGAAAAATTAATTTAGAAGAATAATCATTTGATCTCAATGAAAAGTCATGGTTTCCCTATATATAACTTCTGTAACTGCACGTGTCAAATTCTGCCTTTGAATTCAGTCATCTTAAAATTATGTTTAACATAAATTAGATACTAATATTATTACTTTAGTGTTTTTGTTTTTTATGATTTTTATGTGATTGTGATGTCACTTTGATGCTCATTTTGGATGATAAATATCAACATACATTTGGAAAAAGTAACTCATTTATCTTCGACATTTTTAAGAAAAAAATTCAACATGTTTTTCATTAAACATGCATATTTATGTTTTTAGCACATTATTTTATAAAAGATTTGTTGTAACATTTTAAAAACTATTACAATCAGTAAAATAAATAGTTTTACAACATTCAGTAAAAAAAAAAAAAATATCTCTTGAGGCAATAGCATTCAGATTCTTATAGCTTGTAAAACAGGACTACCGAAGCCCAATTTCTCAAATACATTCCACGTACACCTACTTTATAATTCCTCATGTTTTCTCCTGACAAAATAAAATCCCTCTCCCACCAGCCCAACGAATAGAAGCACTTAGTTGGGCTGAGCTCCTCACATCTAGTACAAACCATTTGGTGAATATGAATCTTTCATGCCATCTTTGAGAGAGAGATATTATTTTGTCGTGTCTAGAAAGGATTAGAAAAAGAGAATTTCTGTCTATCATTTAGTTTTGGCTAGTTGTAAAATTGAAAACTTTTTTCAGTGTCTCACATTACTAGATAAAATTATGGCAGAAGTTAGAAGTACTAAGTGGAAGTTTACAAAATTCAACAATGACTATTAAATAAAAGTACTTTGTTAACACAAATAATCTGCAACAAATTCTAAACTTGATGTGATAACAGGATGAGAGTTTTAAAGTGGGACTGTTTTGCCCAGTTGCAATATATAGTTTGTTTGTAGGAAAATCTAAATCTATAAAATAAACAAGATATTTTTCAGAAACTGCTATATACATATATATGTATATATTTTTAATTTCATATATATATTACATTTTCTGAAAGTGAATCTAGATCTGAAAATGGAGAGATATTTGTAGCAAGATTCTACATAATGTTCTGAATGACCACAAGGAAAGCAGAGTTTTTGGATATGTGATACTACTTCGAAAATTTTGTGGTATCACTGAGTTCCTTTATTTGTCTCCAATAT